GCATGGAAATACCCTCTCCTTTCAAAGAATAAAAAATGTTTGATTTTAATCATCAGTATAAGAATTCAGCAGTTATGCTGAAGGAAAAAGGTTAGTTGCGTTTACTGACCTTTTTGGAAATTTTTTGTGTTAAAGTTAACTGCAACTTTTAGCTTTTTGTTGTCATCATTGAGTCTATTAATGATGAAAGCAGAAATTTCAATTACTTTTCTTTCACTTTTCTTTGCTACCATTTTCTATTCAGATACTTTGCTGCGTTTTCTTATTGCCATTCTTCCTGTTTATAATCATAATTTTGTGTAAATTATCGCGACTTCGTTTTTTCTTAATCCTTTTTTATGGTTGCAAGTTCTTTTTTTTCCGGTTTGATGCCAAGTGTTGACAAAACTGGTGGATTAACTGCAGTAATGATGATAATACAACGGCCTTTTAAATTGTCGTAGTTTTTTTCTCTTCGTATTTTCTTCTTCGTTTTTAAAAATAAGAAAAAATTGTTTCAAAAGCAATGAGGCGATAAGTACATTTTGAAATGCATTTAATGATGTTTTATAAAACAGTTACTTTTTTTCATTTGTTTCTCCTTGTTGTTTATCGTATTATTATTTTTTTCTTTCGTTTTGGATACACTGTTTTTGAGAATTTTATCACCAACAAGAGAAGTATCCAAGAAGTTGAATAAAGAGCTAATGGAATTGTCTTCTATCTCCCATTCCCCCCTTCGCGCCTAGCAAAAAAAAGAGAAAAAATAAAGGGAAAGAAACCAAAATAGATCTGTTATTTATGCAAAACAAATTCGTTGTCATCTATTAATAAAAAATATGCTACTTTTTTCTTTCTTCTCCTATTTTATTTCTTCTCGTTGATGTTTCTTTAGATATTCATATTTATTGACGGTGACAGTGGATGCCAATGTTGGATTTCTTTTCCTGGGGAAGGAAAACGGGGAAAAAGCACGGAGAGGAATTATTTTGACTTTTATCTTGCTTGCCTATTCAATATGATAGCTGGGCTCAGCTCAGTTCAACTTTTCGCTGTGTAAGGCAAAGACTGTATCGTCGATAGTGAAAATGGATCTTTGATGGGCATTTTTTTTGCTATCTGTAAAAATGTTTATCATTGGTTCTTAACAATTTTTGATAAGTGCTTCAGTTTTTTTTCCTTGACGGTTCACGCTGATTTCTTCTAATTGATTATTAAAAAATTTGCAGTGTAATTTTTACCAGTCATCATCATCGCTATCAATACCATCATTATTTAACTTTTTCTCCGCTTTTTTTTTTTTTTTTTTTTTTTTTTTTTT